ATCTGCCAAGACTTGTGCTTTGATGGCCGCCCTTGACTGGTATTGAATATCGAATTTCCCCATTCCACTACCCACTTGAGGAGTCTCCCCGATACATCTGCTTTTTCCAAGACTCTTTTTACAGGCTGATCTGTGACCACAACCATGGTGTGACTCTGGAAATAATGTCACAGACACTTTGCTATTGTGATGAGGTCGAGTGCTAGCTTCTCTAGCCCCGAATACCTAATTTCTGCTCCTTGGTAGGCTCTACTCACATAATAGATGGGTTTTTTTACTCCATCATTGTTCCTGGTAAGGACGGAGCTTATTGTCGATGGAGAAGTGAAAATGTATAGGTATAATATTTCTCCTGATGCGGCATGTGATAGGAGAGGAGGCTTAGCCAAATAGGTTTTAAGTCTTTGGAAGGCCTCCCCTACCTCAGGTCCCCACTCGAAAGCTTTTCAGAGAATCTCAAAGAAAGACAAGCATTTGTCTGCAGACTTAGAAACAAAGTTGTTGAGTATTGCAATTCTCCCATTAAGGTGTTGGAGCTCCTTGATCGAGAAAGGCGACTTCATACCTAGGATGGTCTTGATCTTGTCCAGGTTTGCCTCAATTCCCCTCTGATTAATCATAAAACCAAGGAATTTTCCTGAGCCAACACCAAAGACGTACTTCTCCGGATTCAACTTCATGCGATATATCCTAAGAACATTTAAAGTTTCTTGGAGGTGGTCAATGTGGTATGTTACTGCAAGACCCTTTACCAACAGGTCATCCACATACACCTCTGTCATTTTTCTGATCTGTGATGGGACATCTTGTTCACCAGTCACTGATAAGTTGTTCTTGCATTCTTCAACCCAAAAGGCATGACTTTGTAGCAATAAGTCCCTTTTGGAGTGATGAACAAGGTCTTCTCCTGATCTGGGGGGTGCATGCTAATCTGATTATACACAGAATATGCATCCAAGAAGGGGAGCAATTCATGTCATGCGGTGGCGTCAATGAGGAGGTCTATTCATGGTAGTAGGTAGCTATCTTTTGGGCAAGCCTTATTGAGCTTAGTAAAGTCGACACAGAGACGCCACTTTCTAATAGCTTTAGTCACCATCACCACATTTGAGAGTCACTCAGGATAGGCTACTTTTCTAACCGCTCCGTTCTCTATCAAATTTCCCACCTTTTTTTTCATTGCTTGGGCCCTTTTAGTGGAGACACCCCTTAGCTTTTGACAAACAGGCTTGTAGTGAGGGTCGACATTGAGGCGGTGGGTAGCGACCTCAAGATCAATACCCTCAAGGTCTGAATGTGACCATGCAAAAACGTCTATGTTGAGCCTTAGAAAGTCTATTAACTGGTAGACCAAATCTTCAGAAATAGAATAGCCAATGTGTACTTTTCGGTCTGAATACTCCTCATCTTGGACCACTGGTCTGAGCTCCTTTACTGGTTCTCCTCTTTCCAACTTGGCATCATCTTGCAGGTTAAGGACCTCCACTTGCAATGTCTCTTGTGATTTTTTGGTCTTCATTGAGCAGACATAACACTCTTTTGCTGCTACCTGGTTTCCTCAAATCTCTTCGACTCCATTTGGAGTTAAAAAATGGAGAATCAGATGATAGGTGGAGGGCACAACTCTTAAGGTGTGGAGAATTGATCACCCTAGGATAATGTTGTAGGCTGAAGGGCAATCTATCACTAGAAAGTTGACCATGACCGTGGAGCTCCGGGGTGCCACTCCGACAGTGCCAGGTAAAGTGATAGACCCTAGTGGATACACTTTCTCCCCTGAGAACCCAATGAGGGTGACCTGATAGGCTACAACCTTTCTCTACCCAAGTTGAACTTGTCATAAGCCTCTGCAAACAAGATATCTGTAGAGCTGCCACTGTCCACGAGAATCCTTTGCACCTAGAAGTTGGCGACGGTCATGGTGAGCACCAGAGGGTCATCATAGGGGTATTGGATTCCTTTTAAATCCTTGTCTAAGAAGGAAATGACCTCATTGCTGCCATACTTGGGCGCCGCCTTAGATGGGCATAATTTGTCTAGGTGTCTAGCTTTCCAAGCATGAGCCTTCATGGTAGAGAATGATTCTCCTCTTCTTGTAAGCCCTCTAGATATGAAGTGAATTTCCCCGATAGGCTGCTAGTCCTCCTAGTTACGAGGTGGTGCCGGCGCCAGTCCCCTACCGGCAACATACTGGCGTAAGTGACCTCGTTGGATAAGCTCCTTAATTTTTCTTTTGAAGTCATAACAGTCGTCAGTGTCATGACCATGGTCGCGATGGAAACGACAATATTTGTTTGGGTTCTTATAGTTTGGGGGAGACTTCATTCTCCCATGCCACTTTATTACAAGGTCATCTTGGATTTGCAATAGGATGTGTCCAACAGCGGCATTAAGGGGAGTGAAGGCTTGTCGATCTCTCTGGGGAGTAGGATCGAGCCGATCTTTGGCAAATACCCTCTCTGTCCTGCTGCGCTTGTTATTACTCTCTTTCTTGTCGTCCCTGTCTTTTTCTTTTCTCTTCTTCCCAGCTCTGGAAGAGTCACCTCACCTGGCCCTTGTAATATACTTAGCATTCATGTATTTTTGGGCCTTTATTAGCAGTTTTGGCATGCTCTTGGGTGGGCGCTTCATTATGGAGAAAAAAAAAGCTTGACGACCGGAGGCCTCCTAGGAAGGCGGTTATGGTGACTTTATCATCAGGCTCCTCAACCTGAAGGACCTTCTCATTAAAATGAGTGAGGTAGCTCCTCAGGCTCTCGTCTCGATCCTANGCTCCTCGACCTGAAGGACCTTCTCATTAAAATGAGTGAGGTAGCTCCTCAGGCTCTCGTCTTGATCCTATTTTATGCTAAGCAGGTGGGTAACAGGCTTCTAGTGGCGGCGTTCTCCAATGAAATATGACACGAAGGACCTGCTAAGCTCAAAAAATGAGCCAATGGAGGCTGGAGAGAGTTTGGTGAACCATTATCGAGCGAATCCCTTCAATGTGGTTAGGAATGCTCTACACATGATTTCATCGGGGACGTTGTGTAGTTGTATTAAGGTCTTAAAACTTTTGGGGTGGTCTAGTGGATCTTTTATGTTGTCAAAGGTTTCGACGGATGACATATTGAATATTTGATGGAGTGGGTAGTTCGCAACGTTAGGTTTGAAAGGTGTGTCGATTTGACTTACGCGGTAGTCTACTGTCTTGGGTCCTTGTGCCTTCATGACATTGAAGACGTCACCCAATTGATTTTGCACTTCCTTAATTTTTTCGTCCCAATGATTGGGAGGAAGTCCTTTGGAATTATCCAGGATATGACTCTTATGCTCCATGCTTTGGTTTTCACCCTCATCCTCTTGAAAAGAAGGTTCTCCACCATGGGGAACAGGAGTAGAAGCAAGGCCTGAAGGGGGAGATCCCTCATAGTGGGCCCCCCTGTGTGAGGCGCCCAAGGGAACTCCCAAAGGTGGGGCACCTATATGGGGAGTGCCTATGTAGGGAGCTCCTTGATGACCTGTGAGTAGAGCTCCCCTAACTTGAGGTCCACACTATGCTCCTCCTTATTGCCCAAGCATCAATCGCAAAATCTGTTGGTTCTAGACTATAAACTACTACATTATGTCCAGCATTTGTTGTGCATTTGGGACGGGATTGGCAGGTGGAGGAGCAACCTCTTCCTCTCGTGGTTGAATGTCTTCGGGCTGATTCATTGATCCCGGTGGTGATAGCCTTTGATTCAGCAGAGAAAGTGTTTATATGAGAATTTTGTGATTCCCACAGACGGCGCCAAACTGATGATATACAAATTGATTTGTATACCACTTGTCAATTAAGTAGTATAAAATGCAGTAAAGTAGAGGGAGAGAGAAGACTAAGTTTATAGTGGTTCGGTCAAGGTGACCTATGTCCACTTGGAATGACAAAGGTTGCCGGGATTTTATTAACTCCAATGTAATGGGAGAGCGGAAAGTTACAAGCTTTAAGAGAGGAGAAGAGGATTATCTCGAATGAGTCTGATGCCCCCAAATGTTGATGAGACTTACAATTTATAGTGGTTTAGTATAGTAATTAAATAGCTACTCTGGCGGTCATAATAGGTTGGGGCAGATGAATAGTCATAATGGATTGGGGTGACTTTAACAGTAATTAAATAGCTTGGCGATCTTTCCTCTCCTCAACGGGCAAGGAAGTTATGATGCTCTCCAAAGGAATTGGTCAAAGGATGAGAAAAGATTGACTCTCTCCAAGTGGCGAGGGTGAGGCTCTTGGATGCTCTCTTGGTAGCGTTGCTCCTTGATGCACTTGACTGGCTTGGACCCCATAGAGCTTGCTGGGTCTTCTATAAGCTTGGGCTCTTAATTAAGTTTGGTTTTTCCACATGGATTAGGTCATTTAGGCCTGGTCCATCACATTTCAATAAAACAAGTCGAATCTCTTTTTCCCTCAAGTGAGGTTTTGATCTGAGCTGAAAATTACTTATGTTTTTTTTTACATATTTTTTGATCTAAGACTGATGGTCTTCCTATTTGGGCATTATACCATAAATTATAAAGGGTATTTTAGGTACTTAAACAATATTCTTTTGGAGAAAAATAGTAGAAACAAATCTCACAACATATTTTGGGCTTGTGAAACACACTCTACATTAATTTGCATGATAAAAGTAACATTTAACTTTAATACATAATTATAAAGCGGGTAATGTGCATAATTTTAAACGTTAAGTAGATAAGGTGCTTCTAGCATAAGTTATAGGGAGGTAAAAAACAATTAACCCATAAATATATCATTTTTCATTATGAGTTGCACCTAAATCATTTTAAAATAATTAAACATTTTAAATGTTTTTTATAAAATTATATTTTTCCATCTTTGAATATATTTGCATGCATGGCTACTTTTTGTATGTTTAAAGCAACCATTCTATGAGGACTGAGAGATGAGACAGACACTCATAAAGAGTGCTTCGTTCATGTTTACAACGAAAGGTGTAGAGAGACTCACTTGCATATCCCAACTCTCTCTCTCTCTTTCTCTCTCTCAACATGGCCACCACAGTTCACATTCTTCTCTCACTCTTCACCTTCCTTCTTTCTCTCTCATCTCTCTATCTTCCTTCACTCTCCTCCCTCGACTCCTTGGTCTATGTCGGCTGTTCACAAATCAAATACAACCCCGACTCGCCATATGAGTCAAACCTCAACTCACTACTCACCTCCCTAGTCAACTCAGCCACCTACTCAGCCTATAACAAATACACCATCATGGGCCCCATACCACAGGACTCACTCAACGGCCTATACCAATGCAGGGGTGACCTATCCATGCCGGACTGCGCCACCTGTGTGACTCGAGCGGTGAGTCAACTCGGGACTCAATGCCCACAGACATGTGGTGGGGCTCTACAGTTACAAGGGTGTTTCGTCAAGTACGATAACACTACATTTCTAGGTGTAGAGGACAAGACTGTGGTGTTGAACAAATGTGCACCGTCGGTTGGGTATGATGCGGAAGAGATGAACCGACGAGATGCGGTGTTGGGTAGTTTGGTTGGGGCCGGTGGGCCCTACAGGGTTGGTGTGTCCGGAGATGTTCAAGGTGTGGCTCAGTGTGTGAGGGGATTTGAGTATGGGTGAGTGCCAGGATTGTACATCGGAGGCGATCAGACGGTTGAAAAGCGACTGTGGGGGTGGTGTTTATGGAGAAATGTTCTTGGGCAAATGTTATGCTAGGTACTCGACTAGTGGAGCCCACATTTATGCCAAATCAAACCATGGTAAGCAATTCTCTAACTTTTTTTTCCATGCTCAGACATAATTAGAGGGAAGGTCCAATAATAGGAAGGTGATCATTACGTCAATCGTTAATCTCAAATTTTGTTCTAATTAACTCCAAAAATTAAAAAGAATCTAAACATAATCATATACTATATGATTAGATTAAAAGGGCCAATATGGTGAATAATTTTATTTAATCTAACCAAATCGCAGTTCTAATTGCTCAAATCTAACTTCTTTATGTTTTTAATTTTCGGTTTTTATGGGGATTTTATCTAATTGGATATATGAAATTTATGATTGTCTTCTAAGTTATTGATGTGTGAATGTTCACAAAGTGCCTTTGGGTCTTTTTTCTTGCCCAAACATATTTATTGGTTTTGATTAGAAATGACAATTCTTCGAAGGAATTCATCGACTCAACATAAAATAATTTACAGGGGTGAATAAAAACTTAATAAAAGTTTTAAAGATGACCCATTAGTCTAGACTTTGGTTCCAAGTAGTTGATGAACTAAAGATTTAATCCTTATATTAGTAGGTTCTCTTTTTTGTTGGGTTTGTAAAACATTGAACTCCTAATTAGTACACTTGCTCATAAGAATGATAAATTTTATCAACAGTCTTTATCAAGTATGGTTTCTGAGTTAAAAGACAAAAGTGACACATTATTCGTGTTCGACTTGACTATAAACAAGCTTGAAAATGTAATCTTATTCGCCATTCAACTCATCTTCCAATTATCAGAAAGAACTAAACTCAAATATTTCGATTCGTTTAATAGCTATACTCGGTATAAATAATCTTTTATTTTTTCGGCCTTTCTTCCCATTGCAGAGTCATCTCACCACGAGGATGTGAATACATTTGCGATTATCCTTGGATTATTAGCTGGTGTTGCACTAATCATCATTTTCTTAGCTTTCATGAGAAAGGTGTTTGGAGGAAATGGTATGACCTTTTATTGCTCCCTTTTTCTTTTCTTTTCCTTTCCTTTCCTTTCTTTTATTTTATTTCTTTTCGTTTTATATACTGATTTTATCATTTTCCTTAGCATTTCAATTTCAAAGTCAGGCACCATGAATTCAGCAAAACATAAACTAAATTATTTATTAGACCTTTGTTTTGCAGGAAAATAAATTATTTTTGCAAGAAATAATGGCACTGACTGCCATTGGTCACCACTCTCCTCTAAATCTTGATTAGCTTTTGATTGCTCTTTTGTCTTCCCGTTTCCTTCATGATCATGTCAACTTTTCATTCTTTAAGAATTGCTTTATATAATTTTGCCCAAAGGGAGATTATAAAGGGGAGATTGAAAGATGAGTCAAGGGGCAGAAGAAAGTAGAAAGAAGTGGAAAAGAAGCTAAGATTCCACCCTTCTCTCCACTAAACAAAGTTGTATTGTCTGATGTGAACAAGTTGCATATTCTTTTTGTAAAGGTTCACATGATGTTTCTTTATGATGTTGTATTGATGTTCCTTTTTTTTTTTTTAAATGTGTTCGACAAGGAGGAGTTGTTTCAACCATCAGCAAATTTAGACTCATAACTGCAACTTAAACCCCATAAAATCACAATTTGGTCTTTACATATAAAAGAATCAAATTTTCTACAATTTTGACTTATTTAATTACAATTTTTTTAAAAAAAATCCCTCCAATTTAGTCACTTTACTATTCCTATCGTTATTGGGCAAGCAACTACTCATTTGAAACCTTTGGAAAAATAAATTCGTTAAACACTTTAATATTTAGTTTTAGTTTCAAAATCAAATGGTACTTCTAAATGTCAACAAAAATGAAAAATATTTGTTCGATCAAAATAACCTTAACAAACTAGCTAATGTTTATCCTACCTTTCTGTAATTGATAATATTATTATATCATAATAATTATCACAATTTTTTTTTCTTCAAAGCCACCCAGTGTGAGTGGAGGGTTTGGCAGGACCCCTACCTGTATATATAATAAAAAGGAAAAAAGTACAAGAGAGGAAAAAATAGAGCCAAGCCTCTAAAAGTACAAAATGGGAATAAGAAAGTCAAAGAAAAAGCAAGTTAGTGCCTCACCACCAAAAACATGAAAAATTAATAAACAAAAAACATAAATGAAAATAAAATTCATCGACGAACGTGAGGAGTCTATCGAGCGTCCAAGGCGAGGATGCCAACAATCCCAGAATGAAGAGATGACGAATTAGCAAATTGCTGATTTTATCACAATTATTTTATTATTGGCTAGTATTTAAGTTTTGAATAAACAATCTTGACTGTTGAATTACTAGGATTTTAATATTATAATGAATAATTACAATATTAATTTTTTTCACATACTCACTGTGAAAACATACAATTAGTGATATTTTATTTTCTTGCACAATTGTCTCTCTTTATCTATTCTCATTTTGCATCAATTCATTAACCAAACTCTCAAGGAGATGAAAGTAATTTGAGGTGAATCATCATTGGTTGCTTTAGCTTTCTACATTCCACATCTTCGACTTAGTTGAGATAATTATTTTTTTATAGTAGTCTATATGTATTTTCTTTTTTTTTTTATTCTAGATGTTAGGATCACCATATCCACGGCTCATATCCATGAAAAAGATTTCCATTTACTCCAATATGCTTAACTTGGAGTGTCTTAAAATTGACTTCAGTAGATATATGGATGAGTAAATACATGTTTCCTGTGATTTCTACGTGAAATCTTAAAGGATTTGTGTCATTTTTACCAGTGCAAGAGATGTTAGCACTGTTATTGAAATTTCTTGTTTTCATACATATTAAAACTTATATATATGTTATTAGCTGCTTCGTTTTATTACATTCTAAAGGTTATGGTTGATACTTTTGAAAATATCAATTAAAAGTTGGATTGTAATTTTATATATTGATTCATAAGCATATATTTGATAAGATAGTTGTTATATAATTTCAGCACAGCTAAAAACATAAAAATAAAATTATAGTTCAAAATGGTCTATAAATAACGCACATATACCGTAACTAATAATATTAAAATTGAATAAAGTTGGAATAAACTCCGTACATTGCATGGGATCATCAAAAGTTTGTGTATATCCATGCACAAGTCTTACTTTGTGCATGACCCAATAACACTGTAACTCCAACACATGCCCTAATATGTCACTTTAAATAACATATTATTCTCTCTCTGTCTATCTCATTTGTAAATGGAAGAACCATCGGTATATTACCCACCAACTGTCTAGAGCNGATGACGAATTAGCAAATTGCTGATTTTATCACAATTATTTTATTATTGGCTAGTATTTAAGTTTTGAATAAACAATCTTGACTGTTGAGTTACTAGGATTTTAATATTATAATGAATAATTACAATATTAATTTTTTTCACATACTCACTGTGAAAACCTACAATTAGTGATATTTTATTTTCTTGCACAATTGTCTCTCTTTATCTATTCTCATTTTGCATCAATTCATTAACCAAACTCCCAAGGAGATGAAAGTAATTTGAGGTGAATCATCATTGGTTGCTTTAGCTTTCTACATTCCACATCTTCGACTTAGTTGAGATAATTATTTTTTTATAGTAGTCTATATGTATTTTCTTTTTTTTTTATTCTAGATGTTAGGATCACCATATCCACGGCTCATATCCATGAAAAAGATTTCCATTTACTCCAATATGCTTAACTTGGAGTGTCTTAAAATTGACTTCAGTAGATATATGGATGAGTAAATACATGTTTCCTGTGATTTCTAGGTGAAATCTTAAAGGATTTGTGTCATTTTTACCAGTGCAAGAGATGTTAGCACTGTTATTGAAATTTCTTGTTTTCATACATATTAAAACTTATATATATGTTATTAGCTGCTTCGTTTTATTACATTCTAAAGGTTATGGTTGATACTTTTGAAAATATCAATTAAAAGTTGGATTGTAATTTTATATATTGATTCATAAGCATATATTTGATAAGATAGTTGTTATATAATTTCAGCACAGCTAAAAACATAAAAATAAAATTATAGTTCAAAATGGTCTATAAATAACACACATATACCGTAACTAATAATATTAAAATTGAATAAAGTTGGAATAAACTCCGTACATTGCATGGGATCATCAAAAGTTTGTGTATATCCATGCACAAGTCTTACTTTGTGCATGACCCAATAACACTGTAACTCCAACACATGCCCTAATATGTCACTTTAAATAACATATTATTCTCTCTCTGTCTATCTCATTTGTAAATGGAAGAACCATCGGTATATTACCCGCCAACTGTCTAGAGCTTTTGACAATACTTAGAGACGAAGAAGTTCACAATGGAGTGAGAAAAGGTAGCTGCATGCATCAAAGTAGGGTTGAAATAAGAAAGATTAATAAAAGGCTTGACAAATTGTAGAAGTAAAGTGCACTTTATATAAAACAAAGACTTGCAGAAAGAAAAGAAGAAAAGGTATCTTTATTTCAATTATGGATTAATGGCCAAATCTTTATGATAGAACAAGAAATTATCTAAGATTAGCATCCCCACGGTTGTAAATTAAAGTTGAATGGGGCCTATATGTTATGGTCCTATCAAGTGAATTCGTGGAGGGTTTGAGTGTGAGAGAGAAGAAAAATTTTGTCCCTGAAATATGCTTTCTTTGTCGATTTAGTCTCCGGTGTTTCGCTTGTGTCAATTAAGTTCATAAAATTAATTTTCAATTTCAGTTTAATTGATTTGATTTCAATTTGAAAATGTGCCTATGACGTGTGAACTTTTGAGGGACAAATTTGAAAAAAAACAAAACAATAGCTTTTCCTGAATGCATCGTTTAATGTCTGATCCTTGATCAATCAAAAACATTTTAGTCAAAAGAGAAGAAAAAGAGATTGGGCCAATCTCACTTTACATTTCAAAGCACTTAAACCTCACGTATTTTAATTTATGACAGAAAATTGAACGGCAGTCTGAGTCAGGTCTACATTGCTACCAATTTATAAAATTAAGGGTATAAATTGAGATTTTTAATGCTTAAGGGTAAAAATTGAGAATCAAAGTATCTTTTGGAATACAAAGCGAGATTAACCCAAAGAGATTTAGTCACACCTCATAGGGCATAAATATATTATGTGAAAGTTCACAAGCCGTTATTTTACAAAATAATCCATGAATGTTTTCCCTCATATTACATACTATATATCATATTCACACAAAAAACATATAGGTGAGTCCAACACCCTAACAGCTATCTTCCTATTTCTAGTTGAAAGAGTAGCCCCACAATATTAAGTAGATTTATATCTTATGCCTCTAGTTTTATTTTGATGGAAGAAAATACATAGGTCATAACACACCGCCTATAAGATACAACAACTCACTTTAACTTCCAAAGTGTGCAATAAATCAACAAACAGAAGCTACATAAAACACTCAAATGCTCCAGGTTCAATCCTAGTTCAATGTATACTAGAACTCATGTCTCCTCCGGTTTCCCCTCTCCCTCAGCACGAGTGGTGTCAAGGGTCTTGCTTTGCTCACCGGCCAAGACACACAAGAATTCAATTTAAACTCTTATAACTTTTTCCATTTTTAATTAAAATACTCTTTAACATATTTTGTTGCTGATGTTCTTCTTCCTCTTTTTAATCACAAAGGGATTTACAGATCAACTTTCTCTACTCAAGTTCAGTGATTTATTTAGCAATCTTTAGCTATTTTATTTTCTTTCAAAAGAAAAGATGATTTTGAACTTTCAAAATGTTCGACTGTTGCTGCAACGGGCAAAAGCCCAGGTTGAATTAAGAAGCCTTCTGGTCTTTTATTGGCCCAAAATAAAGCCTGATAGGACCAGGCCCCTTAATCGCCATATTATTTGTTCCTAATTTCAGGAGTTAATCTCGAGAATTAACTAATTACAGCTGTTACGTTAAAAGTTGGGCACAACAAACCTAATAACTAGAATAAATTAGGTTATTAGATTATGTTTTTATAAGCATTTTTTTTTGGGGTTCAACGATAAGAGTGTTCGGGTCAGTTTAAGTGCACCTCGACTAATCCCTTTCGATTCAATTAAAGACAAATGTCGATGTCTCTATAACTTTGCTCCTTGATATAACTTCCCCTAAACCCAACTTCTAACATGCCTTGCAAGTTCGACCCGATATTTTAAGAGGCATACATACAAGGAGGGATAGGACTAAAATGTTCAAATGATAATATAAGAGAAGTGATCTAGTATTGAGTCTTTTCAAATGAAAAAAAAAATTCTAGTATTGGGTGAGGCTAATGAATTGAATAAATCTGGTACTAAACAACTTGGTCTAGTGTGGGGATTATATTCTATTTTTTTATCCCTTTTTTTGAGATTATATTCTATTCTTCTTCTTTTGAATTTGTGATTTAAAAACTTCACCACAATAATAATATATCATACATTTTTTTTTTGCGACAAGGTGTACAGGCTTGCGTCGATTATTTTCTTGAGCTCGGGTACTGATCAACGTAACATGAGTGGATTTAAAACATGTCGCATGAGGAA